TACTTTTAGCGTCCGTCTCCCCGCGTTTGAGCGAGCTCCATCATGGCTGCAGTTGAATTTGTTTGAGATAGAGAAACATTTGGCAATAGATCGCGCATGCATTCGTTACTATGAGGAACGAATACGCAACATATTAGCAAAACATGAGCCGCAGGGTTTGCTTGATCTGCATTACACTCTCTATGAATGTGATGTGGCGCATGGAACTTGGAGTCTTTCACTGTGCGATCGGGTACGTGCGTTACTTCAGCGTCTTGGCGTCGTTGAAGAGGTAGCGACGACTCTACCCATCGACCGAAGCATGTAAAGAGAGGAAATGCAATAACAATATTTGGTCTTTGCACGATTCTTTGACATTTATCTGCCTTTTCTTTTCCTTCTGTTTTTTAAGCCTTCTTATTATTCTTTTATGTTTGTTTTCCGGAATATTTCTTTTCTTTTTCTTTTTTTTTTTTTTTTTTGCTCGTGGATGCATGTATATTCCCGGTTAAATACAAAAGGACCCTGCTTTCAGCCCTACTCGTTGTGTGTGTGTGTGTGTGTGTGCGAGTTTCTTGGGGGAAAAGTTTTATTCCTGTCTTTCCTTTCGGACGATGTCGTGCCTCAAATTTTTGTTTTTGTTTTTCAGGAGTCTTTTTTCAATAGACGGCAGAGAAAACTCCCTCCCTTGAGGAAACACTGAAGAAGATAAGAAAAGAAAAGCTGGAGAGCACAACAGGGACGACTGTGGGGAGGAGAGCTGGTGGTAAAAGGAAGAAAATGATGCGCCGTTTTTTTCGTTCAACAGCTTTTAATGCGCCGTTTCGTGTTTGGTGGCCAATGGGCCGGTGGGCAGTGCGGGGTGCGTCCACGTCTTCCAGCGCCGTGAAGGAAACAGCGAAGATGTCTGGCTTTGAGTTTTCTACTCCGAACTTCTCCCTGGACGACGGGATGGACGTGGATGCGGAAAATCTCGTGAAGGATTTGGTGACAAGCCCCGTGACAGAACTAAACTTTGTGCGGGACATGTACGGTCCGTGGCTGGTGCTGACGGAGGAGCTGCAGGGAGAGCTGTTCATTGACCACGACCGCATGGTGTACCTGCGGCCAGCGAATGGTCTTGGCTTTGGCGTTGGCCGCATCGATGTGGCGGACTCTTCTCTCACCGGTATCGCGTTTTCCCTACAGCTGGAGGCTTACACGTACCCTGTGACGAGCACCATGCCTCCCTGCGAACCCATCGCGCTCGATGTGACCGGCTTCTTGAAGCGTGTGGAGTCCACTTCCGGGGACTACGCCACCTTCTCACTCGTCGCGACGTGGCGTAAGAAGGACGGTACAAGCGGCAAGTTCAACGCCGCAAAACTCTCCCCATGGGACCCCGCCACAAGCGCAAAGCCGTGGGAGCCCAACGTGGAGCTGCAGGGAATCTTCCAGCAGGTGTTTCCTCAGCCACTCGTGCTTACATCGCATTTAGCTCGGTTGAAGGCAGCGCGGGAAGCGAGCGGTGACACGGGGGGTGCTCACCCCCATCACCTTTCACTGGAGCCTTATCGCGTGGGCGATATTCCCAGCATTTACTACATCCCCAACTACATTTCAGAGGAGGAGGAGCAGCAAATGCTGCAACTTGTTCGAGATACGCCAAAGGAACTGAAGACGCAGCTGAAGAAACGTGTTGTGCAAGAGTGGGGATGTATGATGTGTGAAGTCTGTAACAAAAGCTTTGTTTCGGATCGGAACATACCGCCCTGGGTGGATGCTTTTAATGACGTAATGCTTCATGATGGTATCTTTACCCCGAGCACATTCCCGAACAGCATTCGTTTACACGAGTATCAGCCCAGTGAAGGCATCGGTGCCCACTGTGATGGGCCCATTTACTTTCCACTTGTTTCTATCTTGTCTCTTAATTCACCATGTACAATGTTCTTTTACTCACGACGGGAACCACATGCGCAGCCGATGGAGCATTACAATGACACATTCCGCTTTGACACCGGAATAGCCGTGGAGAAGCCTGTGCAGTGTGCCGTCTTGGAGCCTCGCTCTCTTTTGCTCTTCCGTGGGGATGCGTATTACTACCACCCACACGGCACTTCAGATCGCGAGGTGGATGACTTATCACCTGAGGTTGCAGGCACCGTTGTTAACCGCCATCTATTGAAGGATCCCAACGTCACGGAGGTAAAAAAGGGATATCGTGTGAGCATCACAACGAGGAATCTATTGCCTCGTTGTAATCATCAGCCGTCACGTGCTGAGTACGGTATGAAGCGAGCGTGGTATGTGTACAATCAGTTGCCGGTACCGGAACCACTCATGACACCCGCTCCACTGCCGCCGCCATCAACTTCCGCTTCCTCCACTTCTTCTCCAGCAACAGCAGCGGAGGCAATGACAACGGCAGCAACAACGAGGGGAATGCCGGAGGATAAAAACACTCCAGTAGCCGCACCGATGAAAGAGAGTTCAAGGACGAGCTTTTCGGAACTTGAAAAGAAGCTGGATGCCTTACTCACTCAACAAACAACGCTTATGCGGGAGGTTAGTGAGATTCGCCGGCAGATGGCAATGGAGACGACGTTCCGTAATGAATTATCGACGGTGCTTAACCACCTTTCCACCACGGTGCTGGACATCGACAGCAGGCTAGACAGCAAGGAGGATGAGTATGAAAAAGACGATAAGCAGTAGTTCCTACGCGAATGCGTAGAAGGAGGAGTAATTCTAACCTACATGCATACATAAATAATTACATACAGGCATTACATATCAATTGGGGAGAGAAAAAAAGGAGGGAAGGAGGGAGGGAAGGGGAAATGGGGAAGCACCGGTGGAGGTGGACTGGTGGGAAAGAAATAAGTTAAGGTGTGGGAAAATGGAAAGCACGCATAAACAATAACAAGCAGGATGGGAGGAGGCAAAGAGGCGGTTTGCATCTCCACAAAACATTCCAAGAAATGGAGCGACACATAAAATTGAAATAAATGTCTCTTGTCTATTTACCCCCTTTTTTTAACTCAGTGAGAGACAACAATAAAGACAACGAGGAGTTTTGTCCATTAAATTCTCTTTCCCCTAAATTTTCCTACGCGTGCTTTTCTCCTCCTCTCTCTCTCTCTCTTTTTTTTTTTCTCTGTTTCTGTGTGTATGCGTGTTTGTTTTGCTGTGTCTTTTGACTGCCTGAATCAAAAGTCGAGTAAACACACACGACGCAGCATATTGATTGTGATGATGGGAGAGGGAAGATGAGGAGGAGGAGGAGGAGGAGGAGGAGAGGGGTGGGGTGGTGACTGCAAAAGATGGGGGATGCTGCTGCTTTCCAATCAAAAGGGGAAGACTGTGGAAAAAGCAGTCGAAAGGAAGTGGCAAAAACACAAAATAAAAGAATGCGTGAAAGACTGGGCGCAGTATTCTTGGTTGAGGGGATTTTATCTTTCAGTTGTGTTTTTTTCCTCTCTCTTCTTTTTTTTTTTTGGTGAAATTTTAAATTTCTCCCCCCCATCAACTCTCCAACACGCATGGAAGGTGCGGCGGGGTGTTTTTTTGGGGAGGAGGAGGAGGAGGCGGGTTTGCCCCTGTGCGCAATCGGGAGAGGGAAAGTCCGGCGGTGCTGGCATCATCATCATGGCGGTACCGGACGACACTGCCGAGGAGGTTGAACTGCTGCTTTCGATATCCCCCGAAGTGGTTTGCAGGGACCCTACGCACTCGTCGACTCTTGTCTTTTTGCTGCCATTTCGCTTTGTTCTCCACGTCACCCTGCCGCCACGCGGATACCCGGACGTGTCACGTCCTTCACTCTTCGTGGCGGCGGGTCCGAACGCACCACTTGTCAATCAGTTTTCGTCCCAGCTGAATAAAGCTCTTCGCGAGGAAGTGCCGCTCGGTGGACCGATGCTGCTGCATATTTTTACGCTTGCGCAGGAAATCGCAACCGAACTGCAGCGAACACGTGAGGCGGAGGCTCAGGAAGCACAGGCACGGCGGGAGACGATGGAATCGGAGGCACGGTTAGCCCTTGCAGCGCGAGAGGCCTCATCGGTGGAGGTATGGGCCAGCGATGCCATTACGGATCGCAAGTCGAAGTTTGTTGCGCACATGGCGCGTGTAGACTCAGAGGCGGCTGTGCGAGAAGTGGTGATGCATCTTCGTTCTCAGAAACACATTGCGGAGGCGGCGCATCCCACCATCTATGCCTACCGCTTCACCGACAGTTCCGGCGTGGTGCATCACGACGGCGATGACGATGGCGAGACGGGAGCGGCGTCAAGGATCATGTTTCTTTTGGAGCAGATGAAGGTGGAGGGCTATGTGGTGGTCGTGACGCGTTGGTTTGGCGGCGTCCTGCTTGGTCCGGATCGTTTTAAGCACATCATGGGTGTGGCGCGGAGTATTTTATTGACAATCCCACAGCGGGAGAAGGAGAGGGGCGTCCGCGACTGGCAAGACAGGCAGTGAGTTCCTTAAAATACGAGGATGACAAGAGAGAAAGAAAGAAAAAAAGGAAGAGGAGGAAAACTTTTTTCTTTTTTCTTTTTTCTTTTCTCTTTGTGTGCGTGTGTGTGTGTGTGTGTTGGTCCTTCTGTGGGCGGAATTCATCAAACAGAAGAAGTGGGAATGTGTGAGGAATTTAAATGACCACAGAGGCGTATTATAAACATTGTGCACATATACGCAGAGGAAGGGTGTAAGGGAGATATCAATTATTATTTTTTTTAAAGTCTGTTTTTCCTTTTTTGTAAAGGCCACAAAAAAACAAACAAAATAGAATAGAAAATAAAAGGATTGAGTGCGTGTGTGCGTGTATTATTATTAATTATTATTATTTTGTAGATTGGATAGGGAAGTTGTCATGTCATTACGTGTCAATGTTGACTCTTTATTTGATACGACCCGTATTGTGCCTTTAGTTGGCAGCCAAAGTGACACGTTGGGTTTACCGCTTGGCGAGGAAGATGAAACTGAGAATTTGTGTCCATCCCTCTCCTTTCAGGAGCGGGTGATTGGCTTCGCTGTGTGCCTTGGCCTTGGATTTCTCTTTTCGATCTTTGCATGGGTCTCTATCTTTGCGCTTGATTTCAATACATTTGCGGTTATCAACACAGTGTCCAATGTTACATCTATTGGGAGCACGATGTTTCTCTGCGGTCCTATGGCTCAACTAAAACGGATGTTTGACTCCAAGCGTCTGATTGCCACAATAATATATTTTATATCCATGGCGTTGACATTTATTGCGGCACTTGTGTTTCGTATTCCGTGGCTAACGATCATCACAGTGCTGGTGCAGTACGTTGCAATGCTGTGGTACTGTCTTAGTTACATCCCTTTTGCTCACACAGCCGTGTTGAAAGTTCTGGGCCTCGGGTAGCGTGCGTCTTCGTCTGCCTGTCTCTCTCTCTCTCTCTGTGTGTATGTGTGTGTCTGTGGCTTGCAACGTGAGGACGTCGAAGCAAAAAAGAAAAAAATTATCGATTGCAATTAAAATCCCGCTTTTTCCTTTTTTTCTTATTATCATCATCATGCCGCAGTTGAACTTTTTTTTTTTTTTTTTTTTTTGCACGTTGCTTGATTCTACGATATTTTTATTTTTTTATTTTTTTATTTTATTTTATTATTTTTTATTATTTTTCCCAAAAAAAAAAAAAAAAAAGAACATGAAATGATGCCATCAGTTTTCCACGTGAACATCACTTGCCTTTTTTTTTTCTTTCTTTCTTTCTTTCTCTCTTTTGCTTTCTGTCTGTCTGTCTGTCTGTCTGTCTGTGTTGATATCACGGCCGTATGAGTCCTTTGAATTTCATTACCGTTCAGTCAGCCTTATGACTCGCGCGCACAACGCGACATTGGAGTCGATCCAGTACGCCAGAGGGACGCTGCGCCTCTTGGATCAGCGGAAACTGCCCTTCGAGACCGTCTTTGACGAGATCCTCACCGTAGATGACATATGGACGGCCATTAAAGAGATGCGTGTGCGTGGCGCACCCGCAATTGCTGTTAGCGCCGCTCTTGCCATCGCCGTGGCCGCAGGGAATGAATTAAAAAAGAACGACGGAGCCTGCAATTCGGTCGACGGTACACGACGTTTTTTACTCGAGAGCTGCGACACCGTCATGACGGCTCGTCCAACAGCCGTGAATCTCTCGAAAACACTCATACGACTGAAACGTGATATTGCGGATGTTACGGCGAATACGGCAGGAGGTTTGGTGGAGGCGTGTGCCGTTTTGGCAGAAAAAATTTACGCGGAGGATGTTGCCTATAATGAGGGCATCATGCGTCATGGTGCAGCGCACGTAACGCAGCTCGTTAAAAAGTCAAAGGTGAGTGTGATTACTATATGCAACACAGGAGCCCTTGCCACGTCACGGTATGGCACGGCTCTTGGGGTTGTGCGTCAACTCTTCTATGAAGGCAAACTGGAACAGGTGTACGCATGTGAAACACGGCCGTGGAATCAAGGGGCACGGCTCACGGTGTATGAATGTGTCCAAGAGAATATTCCATTCACGCTTATTTGTGATAGTGCCGTCTCAGCTCTCATGGGATCCCGCCCAATTGACGCCGTCATTGTCGGCGCCGATCGCATTTGCCGAAATGGCGACACGGCAAATAAGATTGGAACGTGCAACCTCGCGGTGGCCGCGGCACACTACGGCGTTCCTTTTTTTGTGGCCGCCCCCTCCACAACGCTGGACCCAATGACAGCCGACGGTGAAAGTGTCGTCATTGAGGAACGTGAGACGATGGAGTTGACACACAATATGGCAACTCAGCAGCGTGTAGTGGCAGAGGGACCGTCGCTACGTATTTGGAACCCAGTGTTTGACATTACCCCTGCCGCGCTTGTCACCGGCGGTATCATCACAGAGCGTGGGGTTCTGCAGCCCTCTGCAACTGCTCCCTTCTTTGACATTACCCGCATTGTTGGTGCAAGCTGAAACGAGAAGGTGCATCCAAACAAAAAATGAGGCTCATGAGCCTGTTATTGTTATTGTTATTATTATTATTATTTTAACTTTTATGCACAAAACATGCACACATGCGTACTTTAACCATTTGTGTGTATGTGGAGAGGCCTGAGAATGTGTCAATTGTTGTTGCTGCCATGGAGGAACGGGGGGAAGATAATACGGTTGACAACATTCTTTTTTTTTTTTGTTGTTGTTGTTGTCTGTGTCTGCAATGTGTGTGCATGTGACATCTCAACCTCACTTTTGTTCATCTCCTGCCGTTCTGTTTGTTTTTTCGGCTTAATGTCTTTTAAAGGCACATTTGTTTTGTAGGCCACTTGTCTTCAAATAATAATAATAATAATAATAATAAACAGAAAGAAGGATAAAAGCAAAGGAAGAGAAGCGTATTGACATTAAAACACACAAAAGGGTAAGAGGGTAAAATGCATGCTCGAGAGCCGCCGCCTGTTCACAGTATTGCCGTGCTCATTGCCAAAGGGCCGGAAGAGATGAGTCTCTCCGCCATTTTTGAGTTTATTCGTCGCTTATTTTTGTAATAAGAAAGACTCCCTTTTTTTCTTTTTTTTTTTTTCTTTCTCTCTCTCTCTCTCTTCTCTATCCTTTTTTTTTTTTTTTTTGTCCTTGCGTGAATGGAAGCTTTTAATTGAAGGGATGGGAGACAACGACAAGGCATGAAAAGAAGTGAAGCACGACGTTGTTGTCGTTTTTTTTTTTTTTAAGTTTTTTGGACTGGAATTATTAAAGCGATGACTTCTTTTTTTTTTTTTTTTTTTTTTTTTTGCGGCGGCGGCGGTTATTTATGCGGCAAAAACACACTGTGGCACACAAAATGCATGTTGACATGTCAATATAACATATTTATATATTTATATGTATATTTGTGTGTGTGTGTGAGTGTATGAGTTTATTGAGAGAAGTGAGGGTTGATGAAATTTCTTTGTGGGCTATTCGTTTATCCTTTTTTTTTCCCTCCTTTTTTTTTTTTTTTCTCTCTTCTCTCTTCTCTTCTCTTCTCTCTTCTCTTCTCTTCTCTGTGTGTGTATGTCTATGAAAAAATAAGTATGAACCACTTCCTTTTTCTTTTCTTTTCTTTTTTTTTCTTTTCTTTTTTTTTTTTACACTTTTTGATGTGTGGCATCTTTTGCTTTTTTGACTTTTTTACATCTCTGCGTCCCTTTTTTTCTTTTTTCTTTTTTTTTCTTTTTTTCTTCTACTCTTGTTGTTGTTGTTGTTGCTGTTGCTGTTGCTGTTCTTTACCTGTGAACACCACTGCTTTGGCGGCAGTCGAACACAAAGAATTAGGAGAGTGAGAGCGCCAGTGAGAGGGAATTGGAGAAGTTGTTAAGTGTGCAGATTATTTTGATTTTGTGAATACACCGGGGGGGAGCGAAAAGTAAACACGTGTGTGTGTGTGCGATGCCTTTGCCGCCTTTGGAAGAAGCCCCGCGCTCCATGACGCGTCGTAATTATCTCGTGGAGCGCAACCGCCTGCGCGTTAGTGCGTATGCGCCAACACGCAAGGAACTGGAGGAGGAAGACATTCGCATGGCGCAGACGCGTGAGGAGCGGCGCAGGAATATGCTCAACAGCTGGAAGAGCCAGTCCATGTATAACCCTGACCTCACACGGCCATTGCCTGGGGGCGGGCCCCGCTCCAAACGCATGAAGGAGGCCGCCACACTCAAGAACCCAAATTACTACAAGATTGTAAAGGAGGAGGAAGCCCAGCTCAAGGCGGAACGCACTGCGATGTACAGGGCCGATGTGCTGCAGCAGCTGAAGGACCGAGAGGAATACCTCCGCAAGTGGCGAGAGGATGAGAAGGCGTATATCAGTTCACTGGTGGAATCAAATAAGGAACAGGCGCGCAAGTTGGAGGAGCGCGAGCGTGAGGAGGCCCGGGCCGAAAAGGAGTACATGAATCGCATGCGGGAAAGTAACCTGAGGGAGTTGGAGCAGAAGCGCATGAAAGAGCGGGAGCGTGAAGAGTATGAGCTTTCCCTCATTCGTACTGTGCAGGCGCGTGAGAAGGAAAAGGCGGAGACGGAGGAGCGTCGCGCAAGGGACATTAAACAAATGATGCGGAGGGAGAATGAGGAATATCATCGTAGCATCAAGAAGAAGCAGAAGGAGGACAAGGCACGCGAAGAGGCGGAGTTGAAGGCCATACTGGAATACAACGCCACCCTCGCGGAGCGCGAGCGGCAGGAGCAGAAGCAGAGGCGAGATCAGTACAAGGCGGAATTCGAAGAGACCATTGAAAAACAAAAGGAGTTTTTCCGCATCCACAATTACGATGAGCCCCCTGAGTCCATTCGCGAGCGAAATGAAAAGGCGGCCGCAGCGTTGGCACTTATTAAGCAGGAGGAGCGGCTTCGACTGGCAGACCGCCGTCGGGAATATCGCCAAGAGTTAATGCGGCAAATACGTGAGAAGCAGGAATGGCAACTGACACACATTGATGGAGTGTAGAATGAAAATACAATGGAGAAAAAAACCAAATAAACGAGGAAAAAAATAATAATAATAATAATAATAATAATTGAAAATGAAAGGCCTTTTTTCCTTTTTTCCTTTTTTTTATTATTATTATGTATTTTACAGTGTTTTTCTTCCATTGCGATGTATGTAATTTGAATAGACGTGAGTTTTATTGTTTTTTACTCATGTTTTTACTTGGAGACGGGGTGGTTGTGAGTGCCTTTCCGTTTGTTGTTTAATGCCGAATTCACCCGTCTCCATCTCCTCATAAAAAAAAAATATATATTTCCTTCACTTACTCCTACACACACACACATACACACATGTATATACACCGTCCTGCCGCTTGCACTCCTTTTACACTTTTTATTTATTTTTATTTTGGCTTTATCACACAAGAACCTGTCAGCTGCCGGGGGTGCAAGACAAAAAAAAGTAGTGTGAGGGATGATAAAGTGAAATTGTGTGTTTCTCTTTTCTCGTTTCATTGCGGTATTTGTTTTTTTTCCCGGTTGTTGTTTTTTTTTTTTTTTTTGTGTGTGTGTTGGGCCAAGAAGGAAGTCTGGCGGGAGGTGACGTTTAGATAAACTACGTGTTAGGTCCGTGTGTGATGTCTGCAGAATAACGGTGTTGGGTGATGAAGAAGAGGAAGTGCCACCTTTCTTTCTTAAATATATTATATATTTACATATATGATTCTTATATTGTTGTTATTGCTTATATATATATATATATATATATATATATATATATGAAGGTTTTGACGTGTGTACCATCTTTTTTTTTCTTTTCTTCTTTTCATTCTCTCCAGTATGTTCGATTTTTTTTTTTTTTTTTTTTTTTTGGGGGGGGGGGGGGGGTGCTCCCCGTCTTGGGCTGACGAGTGGGGGGAAAGAAAGAAGAAGAAGAAGATGAGAGCGAAAGGGTGATAAAAGACCACCTCCATGGGTTTGACCTTTTTCCTCTCTTCTCCTCTTCTCCTCTTCTCCTCTCCCCCTCTTACCCTGCATGTATGTTTATGTTTTTGCGTGTCTGTATAGGCGTATATGTATATATATTAGACGGTTGTGTCGGATGTAATTTTTGTTTGGGATATTTCAGCCTGGCTGCAGGCTCTGAACGTTTTGGGCGTGTGTGGGTGGTGTACACGACTCTGCCTCACATTCCCATTAATTTCCTGCCTTTCTTTCTTTTTTTCTCTTGTTATTGTTGACCGTTTATTTCTTCTTTTTTCTTTTTTTTTCTTTTTTTTGTGTGTGTGATCTGCAAGGGTGGTGCGGGGCCGCACTCCAGCAGAAAACGGGGGGAGGAGAAGAACACTGCGCGTGTTGGGTGTGAATGGAATCGGATGACGAAATTGATGCGCTGGTCTCGGCACAGGTGGGGATGACGCGTGCTGGGGCAACGACATTGCCCGCGTCCGTGAGCGACGAGGAGCTGGACGCACTGATCCACGAGGCACTGACAGGAGCATCGGCGGCGCCAAAGACTGGTGAAAACAGAGCCATGGCCGCCGAAACACATCCACGGCAGCAGCAGCGGCGTATCCAGCGAAACCAGGTTTCTTTTCCCAAGGCATCACCAGCAGTGGATGTGAGAATAGCAACGGGGGATTCGGCGGCGCATGATCCCATAGTGGGGGCCCAGCGTGCATGCTCCTCCTCCTCATCCAAGAGCAGCGAGACTGACAGCGAGGCAATGCTGCAAGCCGTCCTAGAGGGTTACGGGTTTCCAGGCCCGAAAGGTCTTGAGACGCGTCATTTGCGTGGAAAACAACCGAAGACGGTCCTGCAGGAGCACGAGGAGATCACAAAAGACGAAGGTGACGAACAAAATGAGGAGGAAACTGTGCTGATGGAGGCTCTCCTGCATCTTGCTCAACCTCCGCGAGAACTTGTCTCTAAGAACCGTCGGCAGAGCGGGGATTCCAGGCCGCATGATAGCTCAACTCAAATAGTAACAACACAAACTAAGACGACAAAGCTGCCTGCATCAAACCCTTTTGCGAGAGGTAATGGCGAACACCCCATGTTATCGGACACACCCAATAGAAATGGTGAAAACCCTCCATGTGAATTTTCGAGCGAAGAAGCCGCTCAGTGTCCTGAACATCCTCCTGTCATTCCAAAAGACGGGAAATTATCTAGCTCCATGGAGCCCTCCCCCGAGTTGCAAGACATGGAAGATGAGAAGCAAATTCTTACGGCCATATTAAATGCGGTTCGCGATCGTCAGTCAAGTGTGAGCGGGGACTTGGTGTATGGGGAAGATGACTGTAATGTGGATGCCGTGTTGCAGCACGCTGAACAAATCGCGGCATCGTCGCTTCGTGAGAACAAAGTTCAGCTGAACCGCATTTTGCACTTACATGAGCACATTGAAATGCGTGAGGAACTAAGAAGGGCTCGAGGGTCCGTGGGGTGGCCTTCCTGTGTCTGTGCGCGATCCGCTCCTGTGGTGATAGAAGGGGATCCCCCAAAGGGTTCTGGAGCATCGTCATTATCGTTACTACCGGCAGCAGCAGCAAAGCGGCCTGCTTTATGCGTCGGCACTACCCTTGGTGTCGTGCTGCTCTTTGACGCAAATAAAAAAATCTGTGGTATGTGTGGCTCCGTTTTAGCCTTCTCGATAGAAGCGCGGGGCGCTGTTGTCTCTCTTTTCCTGTCA